ACTGAATGTCTGGAAGCACCTAGAGACCTCGGAAACAAGGTTACTGTAAGTTATCTTTGTTCTTGTCACCTTTCCTGTTTGTCGATGTTGTAAGGAGAAACTAAAATAATGTCCATCACTCCTTGGAATTAAAGATTTACTTGTGAGATAGATGAAATTAGGAACAAAGAAAACCATTTTAATGTATACTAATGCAATTAAATTAAATACTACAATTTAGAAAATAATAATTATTACCAAGCAGGTTGAGGGTCTTCTTTATCAGAGGCTGCAACAATACGGTCAAGCTCATTGAAGAAATACACCAGATCTTCTTGTTTAATCATCAAGTCAATTTCTTTCTATAATAAGAACACAAAAAGACAATATTGACATATGACACTTGTAACCAAGAACAGTTAGACACTAAACCCAAATCACACAACAGTAAAACACCATTCAACATTGCTACGGTACATTAAAATTCTATTGCAGTGAACTTGATGCTGATTATAGCAAAGTTATGCCTTGTTTCTTTAACCTCACTGGTTTTCCATCACTTGATTACCCCAGAAGACATAAACAAAGTGACAATGATGCAGAAAAATAGCACATGGAGAGCAGCAAGATCTAAGAATAAGTTCAGGAAACAAGGCAGCATGCTCTTTTTTGTGGATAAGTACCATGGCAAAGGAAGAATCTGTATAGTAATGAACTTTTTAAGAATGAAAGAGGGTCATTCCACCCCTCCTGAGGAGATTTTCTGAAGGGGCTTCAAAAATAACTTTGAGGGGTCATTATATACGGTTCAGAAGAAAGTTGGTGCATTTATAAGAAGTAGCAAAAAGACAGGTTATTACTAGGGGGTGGGGATCATTCTTACACTTTGATCTTTTTTTTTTCTTCAGGGGTAAGGGGGAGGGGAAGGAAGGGACCTTGAGTACCTCATCCAAGGCCCAGAGGTAGCAGGTGAACCCCAAGGTGTCTTAGGTGCCAACATTTTTCACATCACATGCCACCCATGTCAAACTACTGGTATGGATCAATACATCTTGACCATAATAATTGTACCTCAATGTTGTTCTGGAGGTGTTGCATCAGTTGTTCTGTGATGCTTTTAAATTCATCCGGGTTTCTTTCTTTTATTTTAGTGAAACAGCTGGCAAACTTCTCCTGGCTGCAAAACATCACAAAGTGAACAGAGAAAAGATAATAACTAATGAAATTAGCTGACAAGTTTTGGATTGGTACCCGTGATATATGAGCTGAGTCACTGATTCGCTCGTTTATGACAAGAAAAGTCAACAAACCGGTCCAGATTCAACTAGTACTGCAGTGTTCATTTTGTCTTTTGAACTCACCTTCCGGCAACCATGATTTTGTCTAAGCATTTCCTCATTACTTTTCTAAAGAATACCATGCGTCTGCCCTCGTTCTCCTCCTGTTTCTCGAGGCATGAACTGTCCTTTTCCGACGAAGAATTCGATTCCATATATGTTGCTTCAGTGGTCGCCGCCATTTTGAAACTTAGCGCCCTGTTGTTTCTCGACCCAGTAGCTCTCTATACTGAAACATTCCGACAAAGTGGAGGGAGGAGTAGGTACGTAACGAAGTTTGATAACTTGTAACGTATTTTCCCTTCAGCCTTTACAAATAATTACATCTAACCGGTAACGTTTGCAGTTCTGTCATATTCGCCGTCTCGAAGTTAGCATAACATAGAAGAAGCATTTATTCCTCTGTTTGAGTTCCTTTGGAATTCACCAGCCCATCCCCTACCCCCTACCCGTCAACCCCGCTTAGCTCGTTTCGTAGCGAAGATCTGGGAACGAGGAATTGTTTTTGTTCAGGAACAGAGGCCAGGCAGGCCGACCAGGTAAGTCAGGAAAAAAAACGCTGCAAATTTTCCCTTTTCGCTTATATGGTCGTGAATGTTGCTAACCGACGGTGAAATACGGGAAAGAAGATCATCCCAGTTAAATAGCGACTTATGTAGTTGCAAAGAAACCTTGAATATTCCGGAGCGATTGCTGCTGTCACGGAGCTCGCGGTTGGTATAATCATAAGGATTGTTGTGGGTTGCATAACTTGCCCCAGGTTTAAACAAATCTTACCGAGGTCTTGAGGTTTTTTTTAAGCTTTTTTAAAACCCAGTAACTTGCTTTCCATGTATCACCGTGAAGATTTGTTTTCCTGTGTATCATAAACTGCCGGCAGTCTGTTTTTCCATCAAAATCAGGCATTGATTGTGAGGCGAGACGTTTCAGACTAGAAAGGATTGGGACGAGACAACGGCGCGGCATTTAAGGACATTCCAGAGGACATTCACAGTTGTCAAAATAATTAGAAATCTAATTAATTAATTAATAAATATCAACTAGTTTATCAATGGGAGTAGCTTGAGCCATAAGTATATTGCATAAGCTTATGTTTACTCCTGGGTGTTTACGACAGTGACGCATGCTCTTGTCCAGCCAATTTCACTAGGAGAGTTCATTCTTCCATGTCTTCAAAGAGAGAAATACCTTATTTATCATGAATTATTTGAGTTTTTAAATGCACGTATTTGTATAAATATTATGTAATGTATCAGGAACTTGTCATGGGCTTTCAAAATTCAGAGTAGACTTCTCTCAACCAATATGGTAGTTGCCTGCATGGCCAATGACACTGCGAGTTTGGTAAAGAGGCCCTTGAACCTCCCTCCCCCTCCTCTTCCCCTTCAAGATTTCTAATGACCTCTCCTTATATTGGGTGTGGATATTTTCTAGAGGAATGCTCATAGGCCAAATAGCTTCAGACATCTTTGGTGTCTTCTTTTAGAGTTGAAAAGTGTATAAAAGTGAAGATCAGTCTTCTCACCGATTCCTTGTGTGATATCAATTTTAATATTTTAAATCTATTTCTCAAGTTTGATAGATTTCCTGGACAGCATTATTTTCTGAAATACCTCGAATGAATGTTGGGAATAATTTTCTGTTTCCTGCGGAAACAAGTCATGATGTTGAAGCGTGAAAGGATGAAAGGAATTTCATACTCAATTAGAAGAAGTGTTAAAACTGGTTCCAAAAAGCAGCCTACTCTTATTCCAGTTCATGGCATTGTGTTTGATCTGGATGGCACCCTTACTTTACCAGTGCTGGACTTTGCTAAGCTCCGGAGTGATCTTCAGTGCCCTAAAGGTGTTGATATCTTACAGTTCTGCAATTCAAAATCCGGAAGCGAAAAGGAAATGGCTCTCCAACTGGTGGAGGAATTTGAAGAGGAAGGAAGAAAGAATACAAAGCTGCAACCTGGTGTATTTGAACTGCTTAAATTTTTGTCACAATGTGGACTGAAAAGAGCTCTTATAACAAGGAATTTACAGGCATCTGTTGATCAGTTTTTGGACTTGTTGGGACATCCTGATAATTATGGTGGTCCACTGACTCATGTAAGAACTATACTATCAGCATCATTTATGAAAAAAGAGACTGGTCAGATCTGAAATTGCTTAACTGGTAGTATATTGGAAGAGACAATATAAAAAAGGCCAGGGAGTGTTGCTGTTCCATGCAAGTACCTCTTGTTTAGCACTAGTTTTAAACAAAAGTTACTGACATAATCAGACACAATCCTTTTGGTCAGGACCGATCATAACCTATTGTTGGTTTAACGCTAATGCACAAGTTCAAGATTTTTTGTTATCAACTATTGTAAATATTTATTTCATTTAAAAATTTTGTGCACATGAAAAGCCCCTCTGTGGAATTTCAACAACGTATATATTTATCAGATTGTCAAAAATGGCTGGTAGCCGGCAAAAGACACCAGGGGGACTTGTCGTACGATGGGGGGAGGGGGGTGCTTGTCGTAGCTTTTAGGGGTTAAAAACATGATTTTAGTACCTCTTAGGGTGCCTCAAAAGGGACACAGTGGGAACTTCTGCAGTACCTATTAGGGGATTGAGCCAAAGAAGTATGCCAGGAGATAATGTGCTGTTTTAGAATTGGTACCTCTTAACGGTAAAAAACATTCCAAGCCACGCCCTCAAAATAGGATCTTGATACCTGTTAGGAATTCTTTTTCAAAATTTCAGACAAAAACCTCGTCCTTTATATATGGGAGTCCCTCCTTCCCCCCGGGCAAAAAACATCATCTCCTTCGTGATATTGGCCGGCTACTCTGTTGGTATATTTGCCTGAGTTCGAGTTCCAAAGCCCTGCCTGTCTAAAACTGAAGGGATTCAGCCAAAAATCCTGTGATAGCATGCGGTGAAAGTGAATTTGTGATATGTCCTATATTTTGATTAATCTTGTTCCTCGAATCTTTGTTCCTTACTGCGCAAGCTTCAGGAAACAAGCAACTCTCGAGGGTTCCATTACAGGCTAGATTTTGATTGGTTTTAAAAACAAATGAATGTGAATGAGCAGAAGTAAAACAGCAGAGCCTTGATTGAGCCACATTTTTCTCAGCTAGTCATGTGCAATTCAAACGGAGGTTCGATATTTTTGGACTTCAAATCAGATCTTTCCAGGGTCGCTCATTTCCCAACCACTGGTCAAGGGGAAGAAAGACTCAGGGTACAAGGTTGATATGTTGACAGGAGCCCATTTCTCAAAGGTCCCGAAAAGTTTTCACTCCTGGAAAGTGGTAGCAAAATCTCAAACCTTATGGTTACAGAGCTGTGTTATCCACATATTTTTAATATGAACAGATGTTCTTTTCATACAAGCAGTTTCAGGCGTATGCACATCTCTGTTTTTAGTAAAAAGATAAACTAAAAATGGCTTTGTGGGCCCGAAAAGTTTCCGGGCCTTTTGAGAAACAGGCCCCAGGACACGGTTTGAAATTCTGACTTCATTCAGAGCCTTCCTTATCCATGGCTTGTTAGTAAAAAACCTAGTTAGTTACTATTAGTACTATTAATAAGTTACTAAAAATCTCTTTGTGTACTTCTAATACAGTTCCTCACTCGTGACTTCACTCCACCCAAACCTGACCCAGCTCCTCTTCTACACATTTGCAAGGAATGGGGAGTGCATCCAAGGAGTGTTGTTATGGTTGGAGATCACCTTAATGACATACAGTGCGGCAAAGATGCAGGATCAGGTTAGAATACTTGTCGTCAAAGATTTCTGTATAATGCAGTTAATGGGGCTCACTCCCATCCTTGAAACTTCATTTATTTCTAATAGGATGGCCAGTTTCTAAAAGAGACTTTGAATCAAAGAAAGCAAATATAGAAGTTTGTCCTGAAAGCCTTGGAGCCATGTTAGAATATTTATACACTGAACATGACCTATTATTAGTTTAGGTCAAACCCTGTCGACCAAAGTGTCCTTTTAAAGGTTTTTGTACCAAAACATTAATTAGATTTGTCTCTGTAGTCAGTGCAAACTCACCTATTTTATTTTAAATTGGTAATGGTTTATTTCTTTTCATATCCCCGACAGTTTTCTTTGGCTTTGTAAACTTTATTCATGGTTGATTTTTCTTCTCTGTAAACATTTTCCCAGTGACAGTGTTGCTAAATGATTCAAAGAATGGTGACTTCAAGAAGTATGCTGACTTCAATGTGGACTCTTTAAATGAGATTGTCAATCTGATTACTTCCCAAGAGAGGTTTTATGTTGACAGAGAAGATTCTAATACAGGCACATAGATGATCAGTTGTAATTACTTTAGCATACCCAGTAGCTGAATTTTGTCCATCTGATTTGTTAAGAAGACACTCAGAGCATTTGTTCAGATTTTCTCGCTGACACCCTTAACATCTGCCACCACGTCTCAAATATTTTGATCAGGGGGACAGTATGTTCCAGAGGGACTACCATAAAAAATGACAGGGATGCTCATCGGAAATTTTGAAAAGAACGCCTAAGAGGATTCTCTTCCATGGGCATGGCTTGAAATTTTTCCACCCCTAAGAGATGCCAATTCTAAAACAACACATTATCTTGTGTCATATTTTTTCAGCTTAATACCCTAAAAGGTACCACGAAAGCTCCCGATGTGGACTTTTTGAGACTGAACACTCTAAGAGGTACCAAA